CTCAAATCCGTAGATGAAATGTTTCATCATTTCTATCAACGTTATGAAATCTCTCTTTTTCTATTTGGGGTCTGTGGTTTATAATTCTAAGTCTACTTCAAATAGTATTTGCAAGCAGTTTCAACATCTCTTTATATACTTCAAATTTCAATTCTTACTGTACATGTTGTTGGGGACTTTTGCACATGTTTTTGTGAGTAATTTGATTTAAAAACATTTTTAAAGAACATAAGCTTGTATTCAATTTGTCTGTAAAACTACTATTATTATTCCAAATATTTTGGAAGTCACATATATCTACTATATTTTTAACCTTACTTACAAATGTACATACATTATTTCCATTAAATAAAGACAGATACTCATATCAGTGTAGCAATTTAGTACATTTCTAAGCACTATTGCAAAACAAGCATGGCGATTGAAAAGACAATGAAGATTAATAGAAATCCATATAACAACCAGTAACCAAATCAAAAAGATGAAATAACAAGCCAAATGATTATACCATTACAACTAGTGGCATTGGTGTCATCTGAATAAATATACTGTAAAACCTTTCGTTTGGAATTCATCACACGATCACAAACGAATGATGAAATGTTGTACCCTATTTAGAAGTCGTTCCAATTGTTTGTAGATGGTACATGACCAAACTGGTGTTGTTTGCCTTTCCTCCCTATGGAAAATGTTCATGCAGGGTATCATCCAAAAATTAAATATATGCTTGTGTCTTTTTGGAGATTTTGATTTCATCTAAAATTGAAGAAATTCATTTGGAATTTGACTTTGCATGAAGGTAAACGCGACGAAGAGAAAGGTCAGACACCTTTATCCCGAAATAAATCTATTACAAGGAAGCGTTAAAATTACTATCCAAATATGTCCGCGGAAGATCGATATTTTTCGCCATTATCCCATTTCCGATTTTCTTTTTTTTCTATCTTTTGATGTATCTTTTAACATCATATTTAAAATATCAAATACCTAAATATCACACAGAATAATATACCGTTCACCTGGAAGGACACAGATCATTAAATAACATATTGTTTAACTGATTATAGAAGTATATATCAACACTGAAATCAATATCTCTAGCGAACGGCTAAATCTTCATTTCAGCACTCATCATCTGGTTGGTGTTTTTTTTTCTTTTCCTGATCTGAAAATATATTTTGATTCACATAGTGAAGACAGTAAAAAAACTTTATTAACAAATTCGTAAAACCTTTTCACATCTAATGTACATATATATATAAAGTTAAATAAAATTTAGTATATGTATCATTTTTTATTTCTACGTCTGTGCAATTAAACGTTCATGCATTTAGAAAGTGTTCTAAGAAGAAGAAGTTTAAACCCATCTAGACATTTCATGCAAATGAAAAGAAAACGGGAATGAGTTTAATTTATATAAAATGTAAATGATGTCTACCTTAGCCGTGGTGTGTCTGCAAAGTCAGTACTAGTACAGTAGCTAGTTTATATGCAATGAACATGAAAATATCATTCAAACAATACCTGTTATGGCTACCTTAGCTTATCACTCTTTGTTTTATCGATCACATTGTGACAATAATGTCGTTATATCATGCACACCTCTATTTCGTGTTTATGCATTCGGGTGCAGTCGCTGTATGATTTCAATGTAATATGCAGTAGGTGGTAAAACTCCAATTCCAAGGGAGCACATTTTGATCCTGCTTTGAAAATCATTTGATGTCTTTTGATGCCTTGCTCCACTTAATGTTTAACCTGTTGGTACATTGACTGTGTGATTGTTTTGTATGTTTGACTTTTTAAATAGGCAAAAGGGTTCGTTGTGCGCTCGTAAAACTTAAATGACCTTTCGACGTGCTGTGTCTGTACCAATGCAGACTCTCTGGACCATGTGTTGTATGTTGTTAGTCTTGGTTTGTTAATCTTTTTTATTGGAGAATTGTGGTGTTAGTGGCTGGTATGGTTTATAAACAACATGATTGTTTTTGTTAAAATATTACAACTGCTTTATGGGTACATGTATGTATAGATGTATCGCTCCTCCGAAAATCTTATTTTGAATGTTTCATTTTGTTTTCGAAGCAATTAATTACCTACCCCTCTTCAATGTTTTGATAGACAGCCACCTCAGGTGTTATTCCAAATTCTTCATATGTATCATTACTGTTGAATTTATTCATATATATTAACTGTGGTCCAATATTGAATACAAATTTTCGAGAAGAAGAAGAAAAAAAATAAAGACATCAAAACTAAAAACAAACAGTTGCACACGGTATATTCGAATAATTAAATTCAAAGTCTTGTCAACCAGGACATGAATGGAAGCAGATCTCCGTACAAGTTTCAACTAATCATTTAAAAAATTTCAAACGCAAAACGAGAGGAACTGAGGGATATGTAACCGAAATACATCAAGTCCAATGGTTTTAATGCATGTACGATTTGAAAATATCGTTCGATTGAAAGTGACGCACTGGCAGATATGAACTTAGTTAACATGGAATTTACGAAGTTCCACAACAAATATCAAATAAGACTATTTGTAACTGAGAAATATGAAAACAAAACAAATCCTGAATGTGTGTTAAAAACATTTCAAAGCTATTCCATACTGATATTAGCAGATAATCGGTTAAATGGTACATATTAATGTTATTGAGTTCAAGATTATAAAACAGTCCATTATACAGGAACGAAAAAAAAACCCAAAAAAATACGAAACAACTCTTTACTTAATACCCCATTTGCAAAATATATCAATGTATCGTCACAAAAGGAAGAGGTTGCCAGGCAGGTTAGAAAATTGTTATCACGGTTCAACTGTACATCACATAATTCTAGACAGTTATATAATAGTGTTTTATACAGAGGCTTAGGAATACGTACCGAAGTAATTGTCGAATTATCGGACGGTATAACTAAGAGATAAATGGACGTACGGACAGAGTGACAAGAGCATTGCATGATACCATCCACTCCTTGAGAAAGGTTGATACTTTACATGAAGCATGTTCATATTGTAAAGTGGTTTATTTTCGCGGAGTTTGTATTGAACGATTTGAAAGGCAAAATTTAATTGATGATCTCGATCTTTCTTTTAGATCAAATTAACGCAAAAGTAGCGGCAAACACCCTATGTTCCTTATGTCGTAACTACAATACCCTTCCCTTTTCACGAATGTGACCTACCGATTTAGACTATTTACCGGATTTGTAATAATATAAGCAACACGACGGGTGTCACATGTGGAGCAGGATCTGCTTACCATTCCGGAGCACCTGAGATAACCTAGTTGCTTAGTCTTTAGTTTTGTATGTTGTGTCATCTGTACTATTATTTGTCTATTTGTCTTTTTATTTTTGGCCATGGCGTTGTCAGTTTGTTTTCGATCTATGAGTTTGACTGTCCCTCTGGTATCTTTCGTCCCTCTTCTGTAAATCACTTCTACGCTATATTTTATTTTTTCAGTGTATTCCTCCTAATGTGATAAAACGAATATGTTTGTAGCGCTAGTTACGTTGCCAAGAATGTAACTTATGTTATCAGAACCTTCTTAAATTTTTCAAATTGTTTATGCATATTTTTGGAGATTCAAAATCATTTGGTCTCTCAAGTTCCTGATGAAGGTAATTCTAGAATCGTAACACTGTTATTCTACGTTGATTTTGTTCGTTTTCCCTTTAGTGTAAAATAGATGTTTTAGCTACTAAATATAGATTGATTGATTTGACGTACTGAGAAAAAAGCTTAAACCGCAGTGAAAAAAAGTTATTTTATTTATAACGGTTTAAGCTTTTTTTTCTCTTCGGTACATCAAATCAATCTGTCTATATTTACTAGATACAAAAAAATTTCTTTTGAAGTAGGTTTGTAATTAGAGGGTTATCATTGGAATCAAATTTATTTGTTTTGCATGCTACATTTATCATAGGAAGGTGCTGTCAAGTGTTACCACATGAACGTTTTGATATTATATGATTTTTTTATAATTACCTGGGCTCTTGAAGAGGTCTTGATTCTGTAGAATAAAAATAAGCGTTAAGTACCCAATTATTCATACTCCGTGCACATCCAAATGTTTTCTTTTTGCAATAATAATGAATAAAGTCAACCTAACATGTTAGATTTTTAGAAGCGGAAGTATGTGAAATTGGTGGCGAAGTGGTGCCTTTTCTTCTTAACTTACGGCCTTTGCAGTCAAGGGAAGACTGGACTAGAATGCAGCAGTAAGGAACGGTTAAAACATTAATTTCCTATCGGATGCTTTTGCAGGAAAAATGGACATAAGATATCCTCAAAACATAATGTTATGAAAAGAGTACTACAGGCTTGTTTCAAATTGTACGTCGCTTGAAACAAGCAGTATTTATCCCCCGCCGAGGAAATGTTTGTTTAGATATGCTTTAACTACGTTACATGTTATCTGTTGATTTTTTAATTTGTTAACGTCTTTATTGAGGATAAAGAAAACTATCGTTCAAAGAAGGTCCATGAAGTTAAATTCTTTGTATCGTTTATTTTATGATAAATTTTCAATTGAACAATAAATTGTTATAACATGAATATTTTAGTAAATGAAGTTAGGAAATTGAATATTCTGATTTTATTGTATTTGGATTATGTAACAGAGGATAATACAGTTTCTCGTAAATGCTGTAAAAGTATACCAAGTCAACCTTGACCTTTTCATGATCTTCAAAAAAAAAGGATTTTGATTTTAATTCGACTGCAGATTTCTGGAGATGTAACTCAATTTTTGAGCAGAAACATGATTATTTATTCAAATAGGTAGATTGTGAATTTTTTTAAACCGAACAGTTCTGTGTGATCATACGAAAATCAATTGTGTATGCCTTATGAGCATTTAATCTACATAAGACTTGATAGTTGCGATCGAATCAAACTAGTAAACTAGATAAATACTGCAATGAATATGCAAAATGATGGTCTAGTCTGTTATGTAGGGAATGAAATAGTCATTTATGAAACATACCCGATTGCGGCTGCAAGCTAGAATATTGATCTGAAAATGCTGGATTGCTTCTCTTCACATCAGTATATTCATCCGATCTATATAAAAAAAAAAAGAATAATTCACAAAAACAACTTTAAGTATTTGATGTGTTTGATATATACTGCGATTTCACATTATTCGTTTTTGTTACTGCATGCACAAATGTACATTTCTCATTTATTCACTTTTGTTAAGTGATAACTGTGAAATTTGATGCTTTAGGTGTAATACCACCATTGATTTTCCCCTATTAGTCTTTGTTAAATTTGCACTTTTCAAACAATTGTGCAGAATTTATCTTTGTTTCAAATAAAAAAATACATGGCATGAATAGAGTTTTATCCTGTCCAGTACTATAGACAAAATTTCACATAACATTTCATTACATATAAGAAAATAACCATCACTGGAAGTTAACCAATCAAATTTACACCTCTTTTCTATCTGTGTACAAGCTTTAGTAACCATGTAACCTCAAGTTTCCAAAATATTTTATAGAAAAACAAAATAAAAAAATAATGGTGCTTTCAAACACCCAAGATATATGTTTACTGCAATGAAATGTAGAATTAATTTCCTACAACTGTCAAAGTCAAGGGAATATTTTTTTCGACCCTTTTTCGTATGCAACCGGATGTGACGTACTATGATTTGGTGGTATTACACCTAAAGAAGACTTTATTGTTGAATAAACTGAATGTGATTTTTTTCCTTTGTAATACTAGTTATTTCATGCATTACTGTAAAGTTTTGTCATAATCAGTTCAATAGTTTGAGAAAAATCTAGTATAATGTAAGACGACATCTACAGCGATTCGAGCAAAATTTCTTCAAAAAATCCATATCAAGCCGCATCATTAAAGTGTGGACCAATAAATGATCAACAATTTATCTCATCTGCCTACAAACAGTTCTTTATGATACAAAAGAGGGACGAAAGATACCATAGGGACATTCAGATTCATAGATCGACAAAAGATGACTTTAGGATGATAAATACCACTAATGTACCTCTTTGTCTTCATTATAAGGTCTCTTTTGATCCATTTATATCTCCCATTTCCTCGAAATTTCTAATTTTTAGGCCAATAAATAAAATTTTTGGGATAACTTTCACTCATTTATGATAGAAATATTATACTAAATGAGTAATTGGAGTATTCAAGCAGAATGAACTATCCATATAAAAGTTAACTGACTTCAAGGAGGTTTCAATAAGTCATTACGTAAAACTTAGATTTACGCCGCCTTCCAGAGAGGGACATAAAAAGCTTTCCTTTTAGTGAATTATTTGTTGTTACTGCTTCAAAAATAATTTCGTTTACTTATAACTATATATTTATTAAAGTATTACTTAGGAAAAAGTTTTCTATTATAGCAGAATACAAGAAATAAGGAGAAAAAGTCAGAAAAATCTCCCCAAAACACTGAGTTTGGCTTGATCTATCTACTAATATTCATGGAAGAGTCCTATTTCAAGTTAATTTTCTCATAAAATGTGTTTTTGAGACTCAATACACTCAGAATATTTAATTTTTGTAATATGTCACTTAAAAAGCATGAAATTTAAACAAATGAGAGTACTCACAAGGTCAAAGGTGCATGTGCAGCTTCCCATATTAGGTGTAATACCACCATTGATTTTCCCCTTTTAGTCTTTGTTAAATTTGCACTTTTCAAACAATTGTGCAGAATTTAAAATAAAAAATGACTTTGCATGAGTAAAGTTTTATCCTGTCCAGTACTATAGACAAAATTTCACATAACATTTCATTGGCTATAAGAAAATAACCATCACTGGAAGTTAACCAATCGAATTTTCACCTTTTTTCTATCCGTGTACAAGATTAGTAACCATGTAACCTCAAGTTTCCAAAATATTTTAAAGAAACACCAAATAAAAAAAAATAATGGTGCTTTCAATCACCCAAGATATATGTTTATGACCCAGATTTGTTTTTACTGCAATGAAATGTAGGATTAATTTCCTACAACTGTCAAATTCAAGGGATTTTTTTTTTTCGGTCCTTTTTCGTATGCAACCGGATGTGACGTACTATGATTTGGTGGTATTACACCTTTACAAATCATTTCCAAAACAATTCGTAAGTGTGTGATCACTATTGCAAATCATTATATGATTGGCTATGTCAATGATTGTGTTTACCATAAATTATGGATATATATAAACATCTGTTACATTGAATTGATGAGTACATGTAGTTTTAGATGATTTACAAATAAATAACAAAGACTTATTTTTATTTTAGATATATTTTCAATTTTTACTAGATGTTTCGGAAAAATGGTTATTTTATTTTGAAGTATTTGTTGTTTTAGATTTTACGTCCATTAAATCATTATAAAAGAGTTCAGTGCCTTTTCTGTACTGATTTCTATGTTTTTTGTATGATTTTATGTATCAACTGACCCATGTTTGATATCTAAAAACCGGGTAAACCCAGAGATATGTTTATTAGCATGTCCTCAGTCGAAAACCTTCATGGATCGCTTCAGGAATTCAGCAAGACAATGTTAAGCTTGTGAAACATCAATGAAAACATAATCTGTAACGTCTTTAGTCGCTCTAGACATGTATTTCATTTGAAAATATGTTCAATTTATTTTACCTTTGTTTTTTTTTTAGGCATAAGTTTATTCTGCACAATGTTTCATATTGTATGTTACTCTGGGCGGTATAGGGTGTGAATATGAAGTCCGAGATACTGTATATATAATACCTACTGAACTGATATTTTTTTCATGGTTTTCAAACCTGAAATACATAGACGGATAAACCAATACATTTGACACTATGACGTTCTAGAAAAAAAATTATCTATAAAACCTAAAAAGCTATGTGTAAAATAATTGAAAAAAAAATGCAGGACATGATAAAAATATTGGGTGCAGGTATCAATCAAAAAACATCCGCTGACAAAGCACATGATCAAGGGATACTGCAAGCAAACAATCAAAAATAAATTACACAAACACTAAATATTGATATTATAAAAACCTTCGTAAAAAAATACGTATCAACTTTTTCTATGTTTTTATACTGAATAACACATTATAATTAACGGTACCAATTTTTCTGCACTAGATGCGTATTTCGACAATAAATGTCTCTTCGCTGATGTTCGAGGCCAAACTATTTGCAAATCCACAGCTTGTTAAAAAAATGAAGACCTCATAAACCAAAATGGACAAAAAAGTATAACCAGAGTCAAGCAAGGAAACAGAGCTCTGCATGAAGGAGATATATAGAAATAGCTTAAAAAATTTCGGAACAGCAAATTTTAATAACAGAAAATCCATATTTTCATGCTACTACCGTAGTACTGGCTGCTGGGCTAGTGATACCCTCGGGGACTAACAGTCCACCAGCATTAATTGTAGTTTTTCGTTTACTTTTACTTCCACTGTAACACCAAACATTTTGTTACATTTTCTTGTCCTTGCTTGTTTATAAGTTGTGCATTACATCACAAATTAGATACGCAAAATATGCATAAGGGAACATATGAACCGAGCAGAAAATTATTTGTTTGACTCTGCTTACGTTTAGCTGTAAATGTCAAGCTATGATTTGCTGCACCGTGTCAAGTTACAACGTAAAACCATTTTATAGACTTGATAATCAGATATATTTTCCTCCATCGCGATTGAGTGTTAGAAGAAATAGTTTATCAAACTTAGTGCTGCAAATGTTCGTAGCTGTAAAATCAATTTATAATATTGATAAATGTGTTTACATTATAGATAATTACACAAAAACAACAAAATACACATATTCTTTTGTTGTTGTTTCTGTTGTTAGTTTCGTCACCAGAGATCAACATTAGCCAAAGCTGATACATTTCAATATTTTAAATTTTCGAAGGACAACAGGCAATTAAACAAAAATTAATATACATATGAGTAGCAAAAATGTCAAAATACTATACTATACCATACATAGAACTATCATGATTAGAATGATACATATGACTCACACTTGCGAATAGCAAAAAACGTTCCAGGAATTAAGGCTATCAAACCAAATACTAAAGTTGTTATTCCTGCTGCAAACATTCCTGGGTTTTCGTTTTTGACTGTTGGAACATCATCTTTTAGACATACAATGCGATACAATTACATATTAGAATGATGCATTTGAAAGTATAGTGTGTAACATATTGTACATTGCTAATCTTTTTTTCTTTGTTATTAGTACAATATCAACTTTCATGTAGTTTTTTGCGGCTTTGAAATGATTTAAAACTTTACCTTTAAATAAATCCATTTATATCAACTGTAACACAGTATTAAAACCCGCTACATATGTGTTTATGGATTTCAGTACCGGTTATCTATAAGATGTCTAAATAGTATTGATACATATCTTAATCTTATATTTAATATACATAGCATATTTTCGTTGTGATGAGTCCTGCTGAAGTATTCTAAGTTTGTCAGCTCGTTGTTGAATATTTTCGGTATTGCTCAGGCTGAAAGCAGCTATGACAGCACATAGATGTACATTTTAGAAATTAATTTCAATGCAAACCATCAAACATCCCTTTTCTAAATTTGAATTTAAAAAGATGCTATATGAAATAAGCATTTTGAAATTGTAACTGATAAAAATTGTTTAACCGGAACTTAATTCAATTTGATCATGAAATTATGGAAAAATGGTAAAACAAATATCTAACTACTTTAGGCATTACAAGAGATAGTGTGGAAACATTGAGATTTTCACGGATTTTTTCATTCCAAAGGGCGTCAGCTAACTAGTTTTGCACTTATCCTTCAACTGGGAAAACAATCTTATGTAATGACTATATACCGAATAGGAAATTATATATAACTAATGAGATTTCCAAGCAATTTTCTATTTCCAAGAATTCAATATCGCAAAAATCGTACGTTTTATCTTAGCGTCTTTTGATATGACTATATACGAAATATCAAACCAAAAGATATAAGAATGAAACATTTAAATGTTGACAACTTAGATTTGAAAGTGATTTTCAATTTCCAACGGTCACATCTCGAAAAATCTCGTTGCACCTGAACAAAACTGGATCTCGATCTGTAGCTTTGTATAATATGACAATATACCACATATCAAAACACTACATACATAATTCTTTTTTTTTAAGTGAAGAAACTTACTGGACCGACATGATAAAAGACTAAGGGACGGACGACTAACGAGCATACTGACAGATGGATAAACTGACGGATGAAGGAACACACAGACGGAGGGCAAAACATATGGCGCATGTTAGACGTACATTTGTAGGAAAAATAACAATGTTTATTTCTATGGTTTTACAGATAACGGTTACGTTTTGTGTGTAAATAGTATACTCTTCTAATTATTCGGTGACAAATCGGTAACACATGAATATGAGAACATACATGGAAGAGTCAAACAAATATTTGGTATATCAAATATCCGTCATCAATACCTACTGACCGTTAAATGGAATACAATTCTTTTTTAGTAATGAACAATAAATGGTCTTTGACTTTTATCAAAGTGTTCTATATGAATTTGTTATGTTTATTTGAAACCTAACATATTCAATCAATATTGATAAAAAAACCTCATCAAAGAATAAAGGCTTAAAATTTTCTACGTCACGTGTGTGTAAAAACTTTGTGCAAAGGTAAGTAAGGCCATCGATGTCGTGGTGTATAATAACCCGCATCATAAACAGAAAATTTATAGACATTTCATGTCCACACTAAAGTGCTGACTCTTTGACTTATCATATCTTCTGGTACTTAAAGTCCATCAACAGTGCGATCGATCGATGCCGCAGTTGTAAAGATTCGTCAAAGAAGCAAGGCATACAATTTTGTATGCTAGATGCACGTTTTCTCAACACAGGGAAAATGCGTAATTTCGAGTTTTAAAGTTTATGAAAAGAAATTGTAAATTGAATTATTTCTGATGAAAGCATTGAAAAATGTTATGGAAATTTACCGAAATTTTTACCTTTATTATGTCATATGAATTAATTGTGTACTGTGCAAAATAATAAGATTTCACAAATCACAAAGACACCCGATCCTTAAATAAGTATTGATTTAAATGGATTGCCAAGTTTTTCTCATTCCTAAAATAGAAGTTTTTGATTCAAAAATGGAATTAATAGTTGATGTGTCATATTAACCAATATATTTTATATTTTTTCTTTCTTTTTTATATCATTTTTAAACATACTCAGATAATCTTTTAGTTTATACAAAAATAAAAAGACTAAGGTATAAAAAGATATAAGTCAGATCATTTAAAATTATTCATGTCACAGAAAGAAATTGACACTCTGAGGACTGCTAAAACTAGTGACCAGAACGTACATAAAAAAAACTTCAGGTCATTGCAGTTCATCTCAGGTCAGGTCAAATGAAATATGAAATCGAATGAACTCATTAATATTAATGTATATGAATACATGCAATAATACTAGTATATCAAACAAACATGATTATGATTGTTAAATAAATAATTATCAAAATGATATGAATAAATCATTTGTGACATTTATGATAAATTGGTATTGTACACGCAATTTGACCAATAAGAAAAAGATAAATACACTAACCCTCATTTTTTTTTGTTTCTTCTAACCTCTAGTGAAACATGTAAAACACAGTTCAGATAGCTTCCTCCATTCAGAAAATGTGAAAATTTGAACAACTTATAGCTTGAAATGAAACTGGTTAGTATATGATTCATCATAATTTTAAGATAGCATAAATCAATTTAAACCAATGCTTGAAAAAGTGTACAAAAATATCTCCATTAACCCTTAATGAGCAAACATACTTATAAGATGTATACAAAGCAAACTTCTTTTAAGATTCCCGACAATGGATAAAGTCATCAACATCAGATTACAAAATACTATATGAATTCTTCATATGGTAATATATTTTCTGCAAAAAGAAAAAGAAGCAACATTCAAAATCATTCTTAGCTTGACTATTTAGACCTGTACGTTCAGGCAATGTTATCGTGACGATCAACAGCAATAAGAAGAAGAACAACAGTATGTGTGTGTAAGGATAATAAAATAATAATCACATTGATGCATAATAATATAATACCTTCATATGTAATAGTGAAAATTTCTTCAATACATCCGAATCTATTACATACATGTATTCCATATTCACCAAAGTCATCTTTCGATTTAATATGTATAGAGGAATAAATTCTATATCTGTAATTATATCTATCTTTTTGAACCATCCAGAAGAATCCAGTCGTACGAGTCCATTTTACAGTTGGCTTCGGGAATGAGACTACCTGCATTACTATATTTTCAGTTTTGTTCACTTTTGTTTTAATTCTCTTGAAGTCTGCTATGACATTTCGAGGTTTACCTGCAATATATTTTTTTGATTATAAAACAATCTGTAAGCTGTACGTTTTCGCCTTGAATGGCGTTAGTTAACATAACCCTGAATTACTATTTGGTTTTAAAGGTAGCTGAAATCGTGTGAAGGTTTTACAAATCTCATTTTTCATGTTGGGCATGTTTCTAAATTCTAATAACTAGTATAACCTAACTGTATTGTACCTCATTAAAATTTACAAGAATTGTAGTGATATGACGTGTCTTTGAAGAGAGGCGAAAGATACCAAAGAGACATCCAAACTCATAAGTTGAAAATAAACTGACAACGCCATGTCTAAAAAAGAAAAAGACAAACAGACAAACAACAGTACAAAAAATACAACATAGAAAACTAAAGACCGAGCAACACGAAGCCCACCAAAAATAAGTTTATAATACTTGTTGTTAGAATTACAGGAACAGAAAACAAATAATAAAGTTGAGCTTAATGAACAACAAGGGTATAAATAATTTAGAAAAATACGTTAAGGACGAATGAAAGAAGTGCTAAGCGTTAGATTCATTAAACCCTTCATGTAACATTTGATGAAGTTTAAGATTGAAAAAAGGTAAACAACATCTATTTATGAAAATTTTTCGTGTTGTATAACACACCTTTTTGGTGTAACTATAAACCAAAACAACTCTTTATGGTTGGTCTTTTATTTGATCAATCCTGATCCCCGTTATACGTAAAGTAAAAGCTTTAAAAATGCAGTATATATATAAGCAAATGACAGTCTTCCAGAAGCATCATATTTAAACAAACATATTGGTGTATTATTAAAATTACGTCAATGATATTTTAAAAGTGATAGTTTAGCCCTGTTTTTAAAGTTTTCTTGCATACAGTATTGAATAATTAGGAGACAGAATATATAAAATTGTTGATATCTTGAAAAGTAAGAGGATGTGCAGCCCAGACTTTTTATCTTAAATTGACGGAAAGTGCATAGTACGAACATTTAACGACAATTACCAAAACAAATAGTACTTATGATATGCATTTGAATTGTATATGATTAAGCCGTATGTTAGGTTGGTGCATTACTTGGAATCTTGCTGGCTAATGTTCCTCGGCTAATAACAGAACTGAAACAATTCTATTAAATACGTTAAAAGTCTTTACTGATATATCCTCCTGTCGTTATACTTACAATATATCATTAAGTTTACTGTTCTGGTATTTCCATATTTAATTCCATTGAAAGCCTGTATAGTATAGTTTCCTGAATCTTCACATGTCAGAGAAGGGAGTTCTGATAAAAACTCAATACCCCGTTTCGTATAACGTAATGGTGGAAACTTCATCAAAGATGAGCTTAATACTAATTGCGGATCTGGGTTACTTTCAATTCTCAATCTTATCTTGAGATTAACGTCTTCACTGAAACTATAGATTGTAGCGTTACTCCATTCATATGTTTCGTTATTATCACTTAACCAAAGTTCTATAATTTTGGGAGAATCTGAAACGAAACATGCCATTATTTATAACTTGTATCAACTTAATTTTACTTAGTTTGGGTAAATACATAATTTAAAAAAATTATCTGTTTTTTTAAATGAAATAGTAATAAATACCGGAGGGTACTTACAAATAGGTTCTAATCCCCTCATGTTAGAACAGGAGAACAATAATTGACATGACAAGATTTAGCTCCTCTATTTAGGATCCTCTTTGTTTTGGATTTCTTAAATATTTTGCGCTTTCATGTAATTTTTATAAAAAGACAGGTTATTTTGCAGTGTTGTTTTTTTAGTTGCATAAACTCGACCAATTCACTCACAAGCTGAATAGAGCCCGAAGTTTGTGAGTCAAAGCCTGATTTAACCCACCAATTAAAATCGTAAAAATATCCCTTATTTTGTGTTATATCTCGTCTCACTATGTTTAATATGTACCACCTTTGATAAGTATTTAGTATGACGATAAATTTTCACTTCCGTACTCGCACTCTGAACAACAAATTTTTTTTTTTGTAAAATAATTTCCGTACTCCTAAAACCAAAATTATTATATTTAAATTTACCCTGGGTACGTTGTTTTATTTAACGCCATTTTGTCCCAGGTTAGAGTTGGCTTATTGACACTCTTATTCATCTTTTTTTTATTAATACCTGTAACGTCTATGTTATATAGGCACCTACGTTTTAATATTGTATTTATATTGTGTCATAGATCAAACTCATTTGTTTAGTGTATATTTACTTGTTTACGTTTAAACCCGCTGCATTTTTATGCACCTGTAGTAAGTCAGGAGCCTGTTGTTCAGTGGTTGTCGTTTTTTTGTGTGGTTCATAGGTGTTTCTCGATTCTCGTTTTTTTTATATAGATTAGACCGTTGGTTTTCCTGTTTGAATTGTTTTACAATAGTCATTTTGGGGCCCTTTATAGCTTGCTGTTAGGTGTGAGCCAAGACTCCGTGTTGAAGGCCATACTTTGACCTATAATTGTTAACTTTTTATACATTGTGACTTGGATGGAGAGTTGTCTCATTGTCACTCATACCACATCTTCTTATTTATATTATACATGTTTGAACTTTATGGTTACAATGACTCCCACCAATGAGTTAAGACGTATCGTATAACATTTGACGGCTATTAATATTATATTGGATAAGACAGTTTTGGAGCATTTGCGTTGTTATTCATCGTAGACTACCCTAATCTATAATTTCCCAGGTTTAATTCCTAGTTCCCTCTCATATCTTAGTTGCAATGTTTACTTGCATTTTTGAATCATCTCAAAACAGAAATCTTGTTTTTAAAACTTCATTTTCGTATTGCTGAGTTTATAATGATATCTATTACATTTTCTGAAGTCTAAGTAAATGGAAATAAATGTTTGCTAGAAATCTTCGGAAACGATGTAAATATCTATTTTGTACCATCCTATTATCATTCTTTACTCTACTAATCATGTTTATAGAAAGTGTATTTCCAGTCCGCATCCACGAATAAAACAGAAAATCACAAGAGATAAAGTGAGTGTGCTTTGATTATTATTCGTTCTGAGAATTTGTGAAGTAAATTAAACAATAGGACATGTGATTCTATATAATTCGAAACATTTTAAAGAATATTGTTTGCATATTTTGTTTCTATTTAACTTAATTACCAGTCAGTCAAAAGAAATAACATAAGCGGTCATTATTTGACTTAAGTTCTGTAGAGAAAGTGAAACGTTACCTACGTTACTGGTCACGTAATCAATATTGCCATTTTCAATTTGTTTCGCCATATTATTTTTTTTATCACCGTTAACGCATAAGAATAGTCCTTTAATTTACTCCATATACATACTTATGTAGTTTGTTGTGCCCACTGAATGAGACCGCTTCATTGTCAGTATCAAATCCACAAACTACACGTTAAAATTTGTAAAACGTTAATAAGTTTACTGTCTTAGTGTTAGCTAGCGCGACAATGATTTTGCAAGAGATTAAGACGCCTACTTCGATTACATATATTCTGTAGTTTATTGAGTTGAATAAGTATCTGGCAAGTGTTGATATATGATCAAAAGAATCAATGATAATAACAGACGTTGTTTCATATTGAATATGGTTGCCTTTTCGGAATTTTAAGGATTCGTTAAAGGTTTAACGATTAAAGCGTGTCCCTTTTTATCCGAGAAAATTAATTTTTTAATTAATCATAAGTCGTTGTTATTCTTTACAATTCAGGTTCAAGTACAAATATAGTCTTCATATTTTGGACATAGTCTTAAGGATGTACACCTCTGAGGAGCCAAAAATTTCCAGAATTAAACTTTTTTTCTTAACCTGATTTTGGGGTTTATATGACTGTAAAAAAAATAATTGGTGCAGAAAAAAACATATGGTGGTGCACTTCTATTTTTGCTACGGCCCTTTAAAAGTACCCAATTTTGATGATTTTCCCATTTTTTATCAATTTTTACCCATTTTTGTGCTATTATCGTGAAAAAATCACAGTTCCACAATTAAACTTTTTTTCATACTTTCAATAAAAATGCAGTGGACCAATCTGAATAAATTTAACTTAAAGAAAACTATAGATAGGTGTTAATATAAGAAAGTTTTACCATATTTTAATGCTTTTGTGTGTCAAATTTACCATGCTGTCAATTTGGAAACTTGTGATTTTTCTCTATTTTAAGAACAAAATGCATATTATTTCAACTTCTTTGTTATAAATGATTGAAAAAATACATATCTAAGAAATTTGAAAAGAAAAAGGTGATATGGGTTGTACATGTTTCTGGTAAAATCATTTCTTGTACCCCTAACCCATTTTCTCAAAATTTTGGCTAAAAAAACTGACTTGATTGGTAATAAAATTTGAAAAATTTATTACTCAAAAACTACTTATTGTAAATACACAATTTTTTCACTGAGTTAAGTTTGAATATAACATTTTTTAAATTCATTGATATTTTCCTCTTGTATCACATGTTTTGGAAATAATTCCAGAACGAGATTTCAACGAGACTGAAACGTCAGCAGAATACATCCTTAAGACCAGTAAGCTCAAAGATTCAAACTCTAACATTACTGGAACTTATTTTGATATGTAAGGCCATAGTTGTTGATGTATGTATTACATCGGATGGCCAATCAACTTGTAAAATTTTGTAAATTTTTGTCTATTGTATTTTCAAGATAGATAGTGACAGCATGAAGCTTAGGTATAGGTTAAAATATTTAGCTTTAATCACTTACGAAAATATCCCGATACTTTTTCGTAAATTGTCGCCAATGTTGGTTTGGGTTTTTTTTCCTCTTTTTTTTGTGGAGAAGTGGTTTGTTTAAGCACTCTATAATGTACATTTCCACAGACAAATTAATACTTACACTGTACATTAACAACTAGATCTATCCTTCTCGTCATTGTTATATCATAAGGATGAACAACACTGCAACGATAGATCCCAGCCTGATTCTTCTTTATGTCTACTACAGTTAGATACTGATTTGAATGGACGAGTGCAAAATGTCTGATTCTGCTAACTTTCCAATTGAATATACATTTCGGATTGCAATCGGCATTGCAATGTATAGGGCCTAATATAGTTCCTTCTGTAACATTGACAGCCTCGTATTTAGGTTTTAGCACAATTATGTCAGGACCATCTATATTCAGTTTAAAAGCATATTGTAATCTTATGTAAAAACCATAAATTAATGCAGGACAGCTAACACCATGGATATTAAAAGAAAAAAGGCTACCAAACGATCACAAATTATTGACCAAGAAAAATGCATAGCGATCACCAAAATCTGCATTATAAATCGGCTGAAAAGTCAGGTTCTCCAGAAAGGTAAGATTCATGCTCCACTAGTAAACTATTTAGTTAATTTGCGGTATAACTAATTTTAGTACGAAGGGACATATCATAATAACTGATCAAATGTAGTATACATATCGCAGTACAGCAAAACAACAATGTTGATTCATGTTTGCAGTAATTTATATTTCACGATTTTTTAGAAGTATTTGTTGTTATTATTATCTTATTGTTGTTATCATTCCAATTTGTTAGCTATAACAAATAACGAGATTGCGTTTCAGCAGTTGACATTTTTTGCAAAATTAATGCTGGTAGGCAGACACACTTCTGCTTTAAATGTACTATGTTTTTAATGTGTAATATGTAAGAGTTATGCCCCTTTTGTTTAATTTTTGCATATACCACGCATTTATAAATATATACTCATCATAGAAACAAGACTTAGAATTTTGTACGCCAGACGCGTGTTCCGACTATAAAAGACTCATCGGTGACGCCAGTATAAAAAAAGTTAAAATGCAAAATTAAAATGCTTGTAGCATGAAAATGACAGTAATGTCTACCACACTACAGTTGACATTAAATATTGATACAACAATATTATACTTACAATAAGGATCCAAAATAATACTTTCACTCATGTTTGATACTTTTCCAAGATCATCAGTTGCGTGACACGATATAGTTATTCCTTTATCAGACTTTGTAAGTGTGTTTAATATTAGCTTATTGCCGTCGGTATCTCCTCTTGGGTTTCCGAAATACTGATATGACAGATTTGAAGGTATGTATCCAGGCCACCGTTGAACTGTTGAATTACAGGTAAAGGTAATGTTATTGTTTACGAATGGATGCTCATGGTCAATGGTTAAAACTGGATTCATTGGTTCAGCTGAAAAATTTGAAGAAATTAAATAACCGTTAAATCCGTATTTTAATAAAATAATGTTCATGAAATAGTCAAAATGTATTCTGTAACACATTTCCGATTTCTCACACTATCTTAATGCTAATTGTTCCCAAAGTGTATATGAAAAAATGAAAACACCAGTGTTTAACAAATCACAATCATAATAATAGTTACATTTAATAAACAATAGTATAGTCTTACCATTGATATCGAAATTTGGTTTAAAATTTTCCCTAAAATCAAATATATTTCAAAACAGGATAGTGCGATAAGAGACTCACATGAGATTTGTTTATGACCTGCACGGTTCATCGAATAATCCGGAATTTCAGTATCTTATCATGAGATATTTTACTCGTATCGTGTCGAATCCGATACCGATACCAATAGTATATGTCTTCTTCTTCTCTTAGTAAATTCCTCCGTTATCGGAGCACCCGTGTCACACGGTATCAAAAGCCCTTAATTTTGATAATAAAAAGTAAAAACCGTAACTAAATACTATTTACACCTATAAGTGCAAGTGAATTATTTACATAATGCATATATATATATATATATATATATATATATATATATATATAGGATTTCGGTTTAATTCCTGACATATGTCACATGTAGTTTCGGGTTGTAGTAAGAAAACTAGGACGGGTTCAAAAGTAAGATTTTGAAAGCAGAGAAAATTATGCACCTCATAATCAGCATGACTTCATCAGATGACAATATGAATACAAAAAATCCAGGCTAAACATAAGGCGTAGGTACTTTAATAGAGTCACGGACCCGTCGCGGGTGTGTTCTAGTAACTTACTAAGTAGGACAGTTTCTAATTCTGTTGATCTTGTATTCGCTCGTCTCACTTCCTCAGTTTTGATAACGGGCTTGTTTTCTTACAAGAAGTAACTTCCCTTATTAAGGAGATTAAGGGAATGAAATTTATATATTTACCAACTTCATTGTTATATTTTTTTCATAATTTACATTTTATACTTGTATCATATTAGAATTCGTCGATTATATATATGATATTTGGAGAACATAAAATAATTGTAAAATCTATGTTTCATATCACTCCTTTTTAATGTATAAATCAGGTGTTGACATATTTACAATAAATCTTACTGAAACTCATTATTTTCGATGATTTTTTTTACAAAAAGGGACAACATTCTCATCCAATTTTTTTCCACATTATGGAACATTGTACATTTTACAGAATACAGTACTAGTATACCTTCGTTACAGTCCGGCCATTTAAGTCTTTGATCTACTAAAGTATTTTATGTTCTTTTCTTGTATTTGGACCTTTGATAAATTTTGGGTTGTAGTAAAACGAAACAAGCACAGTCGTGTAAGCATCTGTATAGAACAAGAACTCGGTATTCATGAAGGAGAATTTATGATAATACCTATTCGAAAATCAAAAAGTATATCTACCAAATTACATTCTTCTGAGGTTTATAATAAAATAGTCCGATTTTAATCAGTATTCATAGTATTGAATTTTGTCTTTGTATTTGCATTAGCGCTTCAAACGTCTTAAACTTAGTGCAGAATGCAAAAACTTCCACAATAGCCTCAATTATAATTTGGTTATTATTATTGAGATCTGAGCAACAGCTTTACACGTTAAGCTGTTGCACATATCTATTTCGCAAAATATGTGCACAATGGCCATTTTTGGTCATAGATGTCAATTTCGACATGTTTATGACGTCATAGTGACATTGCAAGTGACCTTTGTGCAAGGAAGTGTCCATATTATATTAACCTTGCAATTATCAAAAAAATTAACATAATTTATGAAAGGCATGAATAAGTTTACATTTTGTGTTTTGCGATTTCATAGACCAAATAATGGCTCTTGTCATACCTTCTTTCTTAAAATGTCAACCCTATTCAATAGAATTGTATATTGGTTGGGCTTATCTTGTTCAAAATATATACATAAAAAAAAGATCGGATAACTGGAAAAGTAAACTCATTCTGTGGACAGGTGTTATTTATATCACGGTATAATAAGATACTGATATGATACTTGTTACAACTAAAACACAGCATCCAATCGCATTTCTTTCATAGTCATCAACTGATCCGTATAGCCCAGCATCTGTCTGCTTCACACTAATAACGGTGATATTGATGAAGCGTTCATCCTGTGGCATGTTGTCAAATTTGTATTTCTCCTGATCTTTTTTATTATTCACCAAACGAGAGCCAAAATAAACACCAAATAAAATTCTTCTCGTATGCTTCGTAACATAAAATATATCGTCATAGCTAAAACTGGTCCTCCAAGTTAAAGCAACATTTTCATCAATTTCAGCAGTGAATGTCGTGTCTGTAAATAAGATTTCAATTATGATATCACAAATCAAAGAGTTAACTAGCAATGGATGTACTGTATCTTATTAAATGATTCTTTCTTTAAATATTGAGAAAAAAATTGAAAACAACACGTTTAATAATTTCATGCGTCCGAAGCGCTTTTCTGGATTTACCTTCATCAGGAACGCTCAAGGCCAAACATTTGAAATCCGAGGGATGTATAAGTACCGAAACAGTTGAAGAGCTATGTGACAAAAATACCTAAAACAAATAGCCAAATCCATCTAAGAATGGCCACGATGAGATTTATATTAATAGCGGTACGACGAGTAAATCGCAAAAACTGATATCCTCATCCAAGAAATAATGCTTATTCGCCACTTGTTGACCTTCACCTTAAGCTTGCAGATAGACACTCAAAATATTTTGGTAATACATCATCCGGTCGTAGGCAGCAATAGTATAAATATAACAATATCTTGCAAAGCATTCGATAATTTCAGTCGGACTCCTTTGAATATGACGATGTTTTAGAAAAAAAAGTTTGTGATCTTAACTTTGTTGGTAGACCTTCAAGTATTATTAATGTTTGTCAAAGCATTCAATGGGCCTGAATCCGACAAAACTTTTTACAATCGTATTTTGGGAAACACTAAGTTTGTCCTTGACCATTAAGACAGACCTTCCATAATATATAGTCAGCGACATAACCTTTTGAACTTGACAATAAAAAACAAAATATTGTTGATATGGACTGCAAGGGATCCAGCGATTTAAGTAGGATGAGATATCTTACGGGTATGTACAATGAAAATAAAGTAAATGATTTTGTGCCTGCAGAAGTCACTCCACATCCTAGTATTCGAGATACACAAACTATAAGTTGACTACAACAATACCAAGTATCAATAATAGCCTTAGAAGCATTGAATATTGCAATGCAACACAATTTGCAAAGACTGTCAGACAAATGGAAAGCGCGACAGAAAGATAAACAGAAAAAAAACAGACATAGTTATTCATGTTTAGTTATTTTATCAAAATGAATTAACGTGAAATATCATTTCTCATGTCAAACATAAATTTAAAACAGTGATAGACCTGTTGATCAAAATGTGTTTTTCACCTGTTCCGTTGATTGATAGCGTTTGATTTTGTCAGTTACTTCCCCTTTTTGAATTTGTATTGGAGCTCGGTATTTTTGTTATATTTTTTTCCACAGTGCTCTAAATTGATATGATGACTTATATTAACAATACAAATAATAATCATTATAATGATAATTATAACTAATTTATGAAAATTATTATTATCATTATTAGTGATAGTTTTGTGTTTCATATTGATTGTACATTTTACAATAATATAGTAAATAAATATACTTTAATACTAAACCATATACTTTACTAGACATGTTTAAGCCCTATTCAAACTTTTCGTTTACATTGATAGTATTAATTTTTCAAATGTTCTACGAATTATACAGTAAAAATTCAGAGGTTACAAAAAAACGAAAACTGATGTTAGTTTCCGTCTCCTAAAATTAAACACCTTTACTTAAAATAGCCTAAATACCAGGACAGTGCATGATTCCAATTATTTTCTGTTCATCGCGTAAATTAACATTATTTGAACTTACAGAAAACAAAACCCATATTAGGTCAAACATAGAGTTAATTAAATAGAAAATATTTTTTCGTTTCAACGTATAAGTTTGTTCGTGCATAAGACATAACGTCTGTTTAGAACTCGTTTTGGTGGCTAAGCATATCAATCGGTTTACTATATAGGGAAATGCCTGTACCAAGTCAGAAATATGACAGTTGTTTTCTATTCTTTTGATGTGTTTGAGCTTTTGATTTTGTCGTTTGATAAGGCACTTCCCGTTTTGAATTTTCCTTGGAGTTCGGTAATTTTGTTATTTAACTTTTTGATAGTGAACTATTGTAATCAACACAGACCCATACCATAAAGCGTCTATTTTGTCGAGGTATCATAATTGAGACGTACGGTTAAATACAACAAACACGTTTAACTTCTTTGTACGATCATAAATTATTTCCATTTTTGTCCAAGGTCGTTAATTACTTAATGATGCCATTTATCATTGTCTAGAACGTTGATCGTTTCGCTAACAGCTTTTCTAGTCATATTTGTGTTTACCATAATGTAATACATTTCTTTATTACGGGTGCCACATGTGGAGTAGGATCTGCTCGCCCTTCCGGATCTGAGATCACCCCGATTTTTGGTGGGGTTCGTGTCGCTCAGTCTTTAGTTTTTTACATGTATGTTGTGTTTTGTGTACTGCTGTATGTCTTTTTCTTTTTTGCCATGGCGTTGTCAGTTTATTTTCGACTTATGAGTTTGAATGTCCCCTTGGTATATTTCGCCTCTCTTTTACATTTGATAAAGTTATAGTTTAAGTCACTTCTTAATGCCCTCTTTTTTCTATCAACTGTCCAACGGCAAATCTTAAATATTTTTCTTCCTTGCTCAATTTGTGTCGATTTACCTAAAAGTCATTTACAAAAATACGCTTCTTACTGAGACAAGATAACAATCCATAATCACCGCGTGCCGACATATGTGACGATTTCTTGCCAACAGAAAAAATCTTTACTTGCTTCATTTTTGACAGTATTTATAACGGTGTATGAATTCGTTCCTCATATAACACTTCCGTTCATCAATTATGGTTCCACCATGGAATTTACACAGCAAATGCTTCATAGCACCGGAAATATTAAAACAGTCTTATTGAAGCATATGACCAGGTATAAGGTTTTGTTGTTGTTGTAACTTTACTGTCTGTCAAGCATGAAAAAGTGCTTCCACACAAAATTTCTGTTTTTTATCCTTACAAACGATGAAAAAAGGAAGCATTACGGTTCCGTTGTGTGCATCTGTTACATATCAGATTAAAGCTTTTGGTCAAGGTAGAAAATATATCATGAAATCGGGGTCACATCAACTGAAACGTTGTTTACATGTTTATTATGATGTGTACTTTTTAAATTATAGTATACAGTTATTTGCAGGTCATAAGGACAATAGCAAGTGTATTGTTCCCCGAGATTAAAACATTTTCCCGACGCGAAGCGGAGGGAAATACATTGTAGTTACTGTCGATGTAGCAATAATTGATATTATCCGAATAACTATTAAATAAGTGTTTTATTATACAGACGGAAACTGGTATATATTTCGAGACAACGTAGGGTTATTCTCTTTACACTGCAACTCTTACAACTGTTCCAAATGAAATATTTTTTGATAAACCATCATGTTGTAATTTGAATCGGTCGACGTAAAAACTCCACGAACCTATATTCTTTATTGACGTCATAAATAAAACTCTATGAAATCGCATTGTAAACGTCATTAACAAGGCGATTTACGGTCATTAACCTTATATCACAAATGACTATACGGTCAAAATAATTTGACTACGCAAATATCACAGTTGCATTATAAACAATCATTCGGAGTCAATTCAAACGATACAGAAAATACAGGAAAACGTTTGCTTCCAGTATGTTCCGTAAAAAACAATCAGCAGGTTAATAGTTTTTGTACATGAAAATGTGTGCTTCCAGTAAATAGTTCATATCCAGTAAATAGTTTTTGAAACTATTAGCCGATAAATAGTCGTTTTCAGACAATTTCGTTTAAATTGCAATTTTATTCGTCTATAATTTTATGAAGAAAATACATACTGAGATATAACAAATCAAACTATTGTGTGACTCTTGTGTGACGGTTTACTTAACAAATTAATACAATGCGAGCGGGATATGGTGTCCTATGGGTGCGTATCTTGTTACTTATATTTTTACAGTTATGATAGGCATGTTAATGACGACTTTCTTTCTAATAATTTCATTAATACTGCAAAGTATAAAATACATCTATGTACACACTGGCATAATCTGAGATTTAACAGCAGAATAGTACTATAAATATTATTAAGATAATAAGAGGATCTTTCTGTCCGTATCTTATAAATGTACAAAGTTTAAATAAGCACGTTGGATGAGCTGCATCCACAGAATGCATACCGAAAAGTAAAACAATTTCAGAGATCATAACTCCGAAAAAACAAAACAGTGCAGTATATCCTTAGAAAACTTATCCAAAGTAGTTTGCAGTCATTCTGGTAAATAAAAAGTGCAAACACATAACAAAAACATATAAACATGCAATGTTTATTAGCAGCATTTTAGTGAAAAAACATTGTGTTTGTGCTCATACGTTCACGTTTAATATTCCATGCTTTCAAAAATATTTTAGCATTAATAAAAAAATAGTTATGTTCCAGAATGTAATAAAAATTTGCATATGCAATCAGTTTGAATAACAACTAATGAGGGAATAAACTCATCATAGATACAAGGATTAAAATTGTGTACGCCAGACACGCGTTATATTTACAAAAGACCAATCAGTGACGCTTGAATCAAAAAAGGCCAAAATGAACTCTTTATTAGATTTGAGTTATAAAGAGGTTTTTAAAAATAAATTTTGGGGAATAACAGCTAGTGAACGTGAACTGCTGGATGGACCGTTCCAGCTTTTTTCCATACAATAACTTGAGAATAATAGTAGTTCCATCAATGTTGCTTCGATTTTGATATGTTGTTACTGAGGACAAAATGGAGAATAGGATTGGTTTTGACAATTTTTCCGTATGTCTTTCAGAAGTTATTTTCCTTGGTGGTGTTAACAATGATACTAATAATGGTCTGAAAACGTCTATTGTAGCTTTGATATTGATATAAACATTAAGCAAATACTTTCTTTGGAATAAGAATAATGTTTAAGACCGGATTTTTATAAATACTTTGATATGTTCAACGATGATTGAATAGTGCTTTCCAACGCACACAGAAACAGAAACAAAAATGTTTCATACTTTTTTTAAATATATGGCTACCTTATAGCTAAATAGAAACAAATAATATCAAAATTATAAAAACAAATTGTGAAATATTACAATATTTAACTTATGTAGTTAACTGTTTTTCTAGCATGATTTCTTATTGTTTAACTAGATAAAGTTGTAAAAATATGTATTTAATACGATGCTGCCGATTTATAATTGAAATAGTCAAATTTATATTGGCAAGAGAATGTATAAATCAACAACTGTCAGAACAGTCAGTCGCATCATCTATTATAAGGAAGGAGTGTGATTGCGCTGCTTGGACATGAAAAAAAAACAAAACAAAATGTGGCACAAAAATTGCACCATAAAGACTCGAGTTTAATATGCATGAGCATGTCAAAATGTTTATTTAATCAAGTTGGTGCATGAATGGTGCATTGGTCGAAATAAAGAAAACCCATCCATATGACTGAATTTTTACTCATTTATTTAGTATATGACGTTATTTACATTCATTTTGTTATAGCTAAAAATGATATTGTATCATAGATCTAAGTTCGAATGCTTAAGGGTAAAAAATCTGCTCAATATAATATTTTATAAATTTGCATATCTCGCGGTATTTTAGGCCATTATAGTCAGGATTTTCCTAACTTTTTCGAATTAAGAAAAAAACAGTACATTCTCTCAGAGCACCCAACTATAAACAATCCAGCGTCACAGTGATTGGTAACAATAATCTTTGGCATAAACATCTTGCAAAACACAAATGCAGAGAGTAAAGATAAAAAGGGGAATAACCTTTTTCGTGTACCTGGGCATTCATGAACTATTAAGAAAAAGATTCATCTGATGATCAAATATATGTACAATACGCTAGCTACGTATCAATCAAAATCGAGAATACTTAAATATGCTTCCTTAGTGTATAATCCTGCTTCTCTGTTTAGGCTTCTTTAAATTGTTGGTCTCGGGTCATAATAAAAGGTTTTCTGGAAACACGTGTAATTTATACAGAAAACATTACCATCCGGTTTTTTAAACAAGTGTGTTCGATGGACACCTGTTATTTGTATTTAAAGTCTTAATGACATATGAACTCACTTGTCATCCCAAACTTTTGTGTGGTGAATTCGGATAATTGATGTCGACTTTTACATTGTATACTGACATAATATTCTGAACACATCTTTAAATTTTCGATCTCAAAGCTAGAATGTGGAAATCGTATATCTTTATGTCGATGCTTTCTTTCTGAATCTAAATCTATTTCGCCTTCTTTGGAATTGTTAAGATAGATCCGAGAATAATATACCATTTGGTTAGAAGGTATCATCCATGAGATTTTAGCTGTATTATCGATTATATCTATTCGAATATCTTTTGGTGGATCTAGCCGACCTAAAAGATAATGAAACAGTCCGTTAATTCACGCATTCAATGACAAGCAAATAAGACATTCTATAAATTCGAATAAATTGTTCTAGCTTTGAAAGGTATGTAATATTAGCTTTCAAATTAATATTCATGAGGTAACCCTCATTGATGTTCTTCAATGAACATGATGGACATGTAACAAGAGCTTCCGCTCCAGCCGGTTTCTTGACGCGGTCTTGAACCTGCAATTGCGTTTAAGTTAAGGTTTCACGTTCAATCTATGTGACCAAGAAATAGGGAAAATGTACGGTGACGTTCGTGCATGAATTTTTGTGGTAAATAAAAAAAAAACCTTTACCTTTTTTTGATTTTGAGATAAATTAAACTTTATTCAGAGAAATAATTTTCTATTTCAGCGACGCTTAGTTTTGAAGTTAGCCATTTCCATACTTCTTGCCTTGACGGTATGATTCCACAGGCATTTTTTAATATGGAATCATATATACTTGTGTTCAATCTTGGCATCTTACTGATATTCAGACAGATTCGTGATTAGCATTGACATGAGAGGGTTTGCGAAGTGAAAAATAAATTCGGGATATAGTATGATTAAGTAATATCTAAGCAGACAGTACTTTTATTTCTTTTTTTTTTTTTAAGTTTGAATTATTTTAAACTTTCCCAACTTTGCAATCGTTTGACTAAAATCCTTAATCGTCTTTCGAAGTTGAAAAGAAACGTCATGTTTTTTCTACCTTATCTAGAATTCGTCTGTCGATATTCCTGTAATTGTCAAACTGGATGTCAGATTAAGTTGTCGAAGCCAATGCATTACACTGTAGCTCTTTTTTTAAAAGTTCAATTATCTGTTCGAGTTTATTAATATTGAAAATGGAAATAGGGAGTGTGTCACAGAGACCCGACTAAAGAGCAGAAAACAGCAGAAAGCCACAGATGGGTCTGTTTTGACATTTTTACAATATTATGTCTGTTTGCTTTATTCACGCATCGTTGTCAATATAATGGAATTTGATGCTAATGTCATACAAGTGAGAGGTTTAGCGCTATAAAACCAGGTTTGTACCAAGTCAGGAATATGACAGTTGTTGTCCATTCGTTTGATGTGTTTGTGCTTTTGATTTTGCCATTTGATTAGGGACTTTCCGTTTTGAATTTTCCTCGGAGTTCAGTATTTTTGTGATTTAACTTTTTTCTTCAACACAGCGATAAAATCCCATACCCCGAAGCGGGCTTCAGCTGGTCCCTAAACAAAATGTGTACTAGTTCAATGAAAATGGACGCCACATCAAACTCCAAAACATATAAATGAACTAAAATTAAAGACTAACAAAGGCCAGAGGCTTCTGACTTGGGACAGGCGCAAATATGCGGCGGGGTTAAACATGTTTTGTGAGATCTCAACCCTCCCCCTATACCTCTAGCCAATGTAGAACAAACAAACACACAGTAATACGCACAGTAAAACTCAGTTCAAAAGAAGTCCGAGTCCGATGTCAGAATAGGTAACAAATAAAACAAAGCAAAATGACAATGATACATAAATTAACAAGGGACTACTAGCAGTTACTGACATGCCAGCTCCAGACCTCAATTAAACTGATTGAAAGATTACGTCTTCATCATATGAGTTTCAAGCATAATCCCTCCCGTTAGAGGTTTAGTATCGTACCGTCATAAAATATATGAGAAGAACATAACCCGTATCATGCCACTAACTGGTTTTAGATTTAATGTGTTTATTTCCGATGCAAAGATCATATGAGTGAATCAATATTAATACCAAAATATGCCATCTTTAATGATCTGACAACAGTATCATAACTATATCCCTTCTGAATAAGTCTGTTTAAAGGTTTGGTTAGCTTTTGAGGTGAATGTCGACATTTTTGTGCTTGGTATAGAATATTACCATAAAAGATTGGATGTGAAATACCTGAACGTATAAGATGTCTGCATGTTAATTTATATTTACGAATAATATCCTGGTACAGTTGATAAAATTAAGTTAATATTTTGACCAGTTTTTGATATCGAAAACCCTGGTGTACTAAAATTTTCAGTAATACAGAGATTTCTTTCGTTAAAATCAAATACGTTGTTACAAACACGAGCGAATCGAACAAGTTGAGATATATAAACACCATAAGATGGTGACAAGGGAACTTCACCATCTAAAAATGGATAATTAACAATAAGAAATGAAAAATCATCTCTTTTATCATACATTTTGGTACTAAGCTTCCCGTTAAAGATATAGATATCAAGATCCAGAAAATGGCAGTGTTCATTGTTAGTATTAGCTTTATTTAAAGTCAGTTCAGCAGGATAAATCTCTTTAGTGTACATACTGAAGTCGTCATTGTTGAGGGCCAATATATCATCCAAATATCTAAAATTGTTATTAAATTTTTGTATCAGATGTTGTTTCGATGGGCCTTTGCTGATTTTAATCATTAATTGTAACTCATAACAATACAGAAACAGGTCCGCAATAAGTGGTGCACAGTTAGCTACCATTGGAATTCCGATAACTTGACGACATACAAAATCTCCAAAGCGAACAAAATTGTTATCTAGTAAAAATTCAAGGGCAGTTATCGTATCAAAGCAGGTCCAATTGACATAATTCTTTTTAGTTTGTTGTTACTAAAAAATGACCTAAAAGAGTTTGAACATATATATTAGACTTTTTAAATGCCCATTTAATTAGGTGTGTGAATTTTTTCTTTATAAGATTATGAGCAAAGTGGTATATAGGGTAGATAAATCTAAACTTTGAACAGATTCGAAATCACCAATATCAGCATGCAATTTATCAAGTACTTCCAAAGAATTTTTGACACTTTAAAAGTAATTAATTCCACTATTTTCAAAGGCCTTATTTGAACAATGTATAACCAGGTTTTTGAGAGTACCAAGTGTACTAGTAAGTAGAATAGACAGTTAAGTAGTGGAACAATGGCTTGAAGACGAAATAAATCTATATTTGTAAGATGTTTTGTGCAGCTTCGGAAGCCAGTACATAGTTGGAACTTTCAATGTATTTGGTTCTGCTTGTAAAGAGGTTGCTAAAAGTTTATGTTTGTTACAGATGTCATTTTCCGAAAATTGCCAATTTAATATGTAAATTGTTTATAATTTTAAAGTATATGAATGCACAACATGTGTTAGGCATGACAATATTTTACTGTAGTATGTACAGGTAGTATTATAATTATTGTTATTGTTGGGTTCAGTTAAATACGATATCATAGAAAATTGTTTTCTTTGATATAACTGTGCATTATACTACATTTAAGTGATTAACGAAATATTGTATTTATTTATTGTAATGTTGTATTTAGTATTAACTTTGCGAAAAAAAAAGTAGCCAAGGTTAAACATATACTGATCGACCCAAAAAGTGAGTTTACTATGTTGTTAACCGAGGTTAAGATTTCGCATTGTCAATGCTAACCAAAGCATAATTCTTAGTATTATACTGGCTTGATTTTTTTAAATTATTTAAACGATAATATGAAATCGAAGAAGACCTTTCAATATATTATTAGGCTTCTTACAACATTTTTATTCCAAGCAGACGGAAACGGTTAATGTATTCTATTTTTAATTGTTCAATGAATATTCCTCTCATCAGCATAAGCGCCTTTTGCATGCAGACAACAAAGCCGCCTACTCACGAGAATAAGTAATTGACTATTAACAACAGCTGAACTGGCAATTAGGCATTGAACCGCTAGTCCCCAAATTTTATTTTAAATCTATGCCATAGTGAAGACTATCATCAGCGAATACGAAGTATACTATAAGTTATATCCAAATTTAAAAACAAATAACTGCATTTATTAAAAAAAGAAAACTGGCTATGCTGTATGGGTTTTACTCATTGTTGAAGGCCGTACAGTGACCTATAGTTGTTAGTTTCTGTGTCATTTGGTCTCTTGTGGAGAGTTGTCTCATTTGCAATCATACCACATCTTCTTATTTTTATATTTACGTTCTTACATATTTGTTAATTGTTCCTTTTATCAGTTGAACTCCTTTGTTATTAAACACAGGATTAAATTGTCATGACTAATTAATCTTGGTAAGCAGGGCCCTGGTTTTCACAGGAATCGTAGGACTAAGACAAGTCCTTATATGGTCTTAAGACATATAATTATATCAATCATCAAAATATGTTTTCATACATTAAGACATTTATTAAGTGTTTTTTAAAGCTCTTCAACTTTGTACTTGTTTGGCTTTATAACTATTTATAACTATTTTTATCTGAGCGTCACTGATGAGTCTTATGTAGACGAAACGCGCGTCAGGCGTATTAAATTATAATCCTGTTACTATTTATAGACCAGATAGTTAGTTTGATAACAAAACTGTTTTTGCTAACTGTACTTGTTAAATATGTGTTTTCCGTTATAAATACTCTAACATGTAAAACATGTTTAAGCGAATTCATCAAATGTTCCAAAATCAAATATTATATTTATTCATATTGATGAAATCAAGAGCTTTTACTTTTGATCGGCATGAAAAGGGCCCGATAGATAATTGCTTACACTGAATAAATACATGTATGCACATGTACGATAAACAAAGATTGTCATCTATATTTTAATCATTAGAGTAGTAATATCTTTTAAAAACATCTCCAAATTGAATAACAGTCGAAAATATATTTTATCATATCATATCCTTGCGGAGTGCCTGAGATCACCCAAGCTTTATATTTATATGTAGTACTTTGTGGACGTGTTTGTATTTTCGTCGTTTTTCTCTTTTTTTCATGCTTAGTGAGTATTGAATGTCCACTTGGTATGTTCGGCCTGTTTTTTGTATATATTATAGTAAACAAATTTTAATTAAAACAACATATTCACAATGAATAACTTTTCTCAATTTTTCTTTCTTTATTGTATTTCATTAACAATATCATCATATAAATTATGCTTTCTTTAATAGCTCAATATCTTGGTTAACAGTCTAAAATGTCAAGATTATAACAAGATACTCGTTAAGTATATTATAGGATTAAACGCCTTTTTAAAGGAATTTATTGGTGTATAAACTCGACCAATTCACTCACAAACAAATAAAAGTCCGAAGTGACTTGGTACAGTTTATACACCAATAAATTCCTTTAAAAAGGCGTTTAATCCTTATAATTCTTTAAAATTGGAGATAAGGAATTTATTTTTCCACACTCGTAACCTCTATCACACGTAAATTGTATATTTGTGTCATTGAATAGGCCTGGCGCATGAATATATTTGTTGGTTAACGCAAAAATATGTACTCCGTGAAATTTGCAATCTGATAAAAAATAAACTACAAAAACTCTAATCATCATTCAAACGAATGTTTTGTGTTTATTATTTAATTTAACTATTAAGACCTATTAACGCGAACTGAAAATAAATTTTGTTAACGTCGATCCGGATTGTGTCATTATCGCCGCCATCTTGTTTACATTAGTTACGAAAAGAAGTTCGGTCAACGTCGTCTATCGAAAAATAAACAACGTCAAGAACAACTACCGGAAGTCTTCTCAACCAATCATATCAACGTATTCTCTAATATGCAAATCATATAAGAATTATCATAAGATAAATCTTACAGTGCCTTAGGATCCTTTTGAAATTTACAAAAAATTAACATCAATAAACTACTGTCTTATTAATGTATAGTTTGCAAATACGACATAAACAAATATTAAATATACTTAAAATTTTACTTACCAGTTGCAAGCATCACACAGGACAAATCAATGCCAAGTATAAGAAAAATTTGAAAAAACGCCATTTAGTTCTCAATAAATGGCTAAAATGGATATATTATGTAACCGGAAATAATCGATTATGATGACATGAAAACTATTCAGATTAATAATTATACCTCTCATTTAAAATAAAATATGAATCTGATTTTAAAACAAATACCGAATGATTTGCTGGTAAGAATTACTTCCTTCTTTATTTCATGTTTAAGGAGGAGGCGTTTGAATGTAATAAAAAAAGTTTAAAGTTGTCTTTGAAAAGGTCTAATTTGTAAGCATTAGGAATTTTGTGTTCTCAACAATTGTTTACAAAAAGTGCGAAGTGACTTGGTACAGTTTATACACCAATAAATTCCTTTAAAAAGGCGTTTAATCTTATAATTCTTTAAAATTGGAGATAAGGAATTTATTTTTCTACACTCGTAACCTCTATAACACGTATATTGTATATTTGTGTCATTGAATAGGCCTGGCGCATGAACATATTTGTTGGTTAACGCAAAAATATGTACTCCGTGAAATTTGCAATCTGATAAAAAATAAACTACAAAAACTCTAATCATCATTCAAACGAATGTTTTGTGTTTATTATTTAATTTAACTATTAAGACCTATTAACGCGAACTGAAAATAAATTTTGTTAACGTCGATCCGAATTGTGTCATTATCGCCGCCATCTTGTTAACATTGGTTACGAAAAGAAGTTCGGTCAACGTCGTCTATCGAAAAATAAACAACGTCAAGAACAACTACCGGAAGTCCTTTCAACCAATCATATCAACGTATTCTCTAATATGCAAATCATATAAGAATTATCATAAGATAAATCTTACAGTGCCTTAGGATCCTTTTGAAATTTACAAAAATTTAACATCGATAAACTACTGTCTTATTAATGTATAGTTTGCAAATACGACATAAACAAATATTAAATATACTTAAAATTTAACTTACCAGTTGCAAGCATCACACAGGACAAATCAATGCCAAGTATAAGAAAAATTTGAAAATACGCCATTTAGTTCTCAATAAATGGCTAAAATGGATATATTATGTAACCGGAAATAATCGATTATGATGACATGAAAACTATTCAGTTTAATAATTATACCTCTCATTTAAAATAAAATATGAATCTGATTTTAAAACAAATACCGAATGATTTGCTGGTGAGAATTACTTCCTTTTTTTCATGTTTAAGGAGGAGGCGTTTGAATGTAATAAAAAACAATTTAAAGTTGTCTTTGAAAAGGTCTAATTTGTAAGCAGTAGGAATTTTGTGTTCTCAACAATTGTTTACAACAATTCGTACCTTGCTGCCTCAATATTTGATACAAACTGTCAACTTAATTTTTGTGTATAGTAACTATAGTAAAACGTTTTTAAAAACAAGCAACTGTTGTTTTGTGAGTCAGGTTTAAAGTCCAAAGTACTAACATAAAGCAAAGACAAAAGTTATTATTCATATACATATAACTTTAATGTGACTTACCGAATTAGACTATTTACCGGATTTGTAATAACATAAGCATCACGACGGGTGCCACATGTGGAGCAGGATCTGCTTACTCTTCCGGAGCACCTGAGATCACCCCTAGTTTTTGAGGGGGTTCGTGTTGCTTAGTCTTTAGTTTTCTATGTTGTGTCATCTTTACTATTGTTTGTCTGTTTGTCTTTTTATTTTTGGCCATGGCGTTGTCAGTTTGTTTTCGATCTATGAGTTTGACTGTCCCTCTGGTATCTTTCGTCCCTCTTTTAAGTGTTTAATCTTTTAACTTTATTACTTATATAAAGACTATTTTGGAAAACAGAACTTATTGAAATGGCTTTCAGTTCTACCAATGCTCTAAGATATGCATGTAGTGTGTGTTTGTGTGTGTGTGTTTTTTTTTTGTTTTTTTTTTTATTGTTTTTTTTTAATTTTTTTCTTTTGCTTTTCAACATGTTCAATATGTTTGTTTTTCTGCTTCGTGCCGATGTAATGAATCAAACCTTTCCCTACTGGTGTGTAAAGTTTATTCTGTAACACCTATATCCCAGGTAAGGGAGGATATTTAGATGATGGATTACACACATGTGTAAACACCCCGCCACATGTTGTCTTTCCTAAGTCAGGAACATGTTGCGGAATATAATACTATTATTTGAGCAGAAATCAACAGAATATATTTAGGGTTTTTTTTGTATAATGTTCTAATTCAGCAGGCATTAACGAACACAAATTATTAAACTGTTTTGAAATGAACATGACGAATAAGAGGTAAAACAACGTAAAATCGGAGAATTTTTAATGTGATACATTTGTATTCAAAATTGTGATCTTCGTTAGTCATGTTGTAAAGTCCCCTTAAACTGAGATTGATAGAAACTGAAGAAACATACAAACACAAATTTTCTTTCCAACAAATCATATTAAAAGTTCAAAAGTGACCATTTCAACATACATGTACGTTTTGGAATACTTTCTTTATAAATCTTAGGATATCCAAATTAACGTTATACTTAATAATTTAGTCAATAAAGTGCATTTCAATTGCATTAAATTGTCGTTATAGTGTTTTCTTCCGTTTACCCTAAAACATATCTAACTTAATCAAGGTAGTAAACGAAATTTCAAATATTGACATACTTTTACAAATTGTGACTTGGACGGAGAGTTGTCTCATTTGCGCTCATACCACATCTTCGTATATCTATATATGTAATGTAAAAAAAAGTATAACAAAAATAGCGAACGCCTTAGAAATTTCAAAAATGGGAAGTCCAAAAAAACTGACAAAATCAAGCTCTAGCAATCAACTGAACAAGTGAAAACTACTGCCATATTCATGACTTGGTACAAATCAGATATTGTCTCTGCATACCAGTACTCAAACCTCATACACGGCATCCCCTGTCCGGCATATAAGCGAAACAATGTCGGCCTTAAATGCATATATTTTCGGTGCTTGACCCTTTATGTGTGTCATTTAAAGCGTTTGTTACAAAATGATATACCGATTTATGTTAGGGCATTATATTTTAGAAAACAGGGCTTATTGAAATTGTTTTTTGTTCTACCAGTGCTCTAAGATAGAAACTTTGTGTGTTTTGGGTTTTTTTTTCGTTATAGTTGGTTTTTCTGCTTTGTGCCGCTGTATTTAGTCAACCCCTTTCCGAAAAAAATCTCATCAAAGATACCAACTGATTTGTGCAGTTTATTCTTATGCTATACTGTAGCACCATTTACCAAGGTTAGGGAGGGGATGGAGATGATGGATCACTCACCTGTGTAGCCCCGCCACATTGTATATGTTGTCGTTCCTAATAAGGAGCATATCATTAGTGGTTGATGTCGGTTGCTGTCTAAAATATTTTATTTTTCCCTAAGATTTATACTGGAGCGACCTTCTAACATGAACATGATAAAGAAAGAAGTATAAAACCACTAAATCATAGTACGTCACATCCGGTTGCATACGAAAAAGGGTAGAAAAAAAATATTCCCTTGAATTTGACAGTTGTAGGAATTAATCCTACATTTCTGAGTCATAAACGTATATCTTGGGTGTTTCAAAGCACCATTATTTTTTTATTTGGAGTTTCTATAGAATACTTTGGAAGCTTTAGGTTACATGGTTACTAAAGCTTGTACACAGGGAAAAAATGGTTGAAAATTTGATTGGTTAAATTCCAGTGATGGTTATTTTCTTATATAAAATGAAAAGTTATGTAAAATTTTGTCTATAGAACTAGACAGGATAAAACTTTACTCATGCCAAGTATTTCTTTATATGAAACAAAGATAAATTCTGCACAATTTTTTGAAAAGTGCAAATTTAACAAAGACTAATTGAGGAAAACCAATGGTGGTATTACACCTATTATGGGAAGCTGCACATCCACCTTTGACTTTGTGTGTACTCTCATTTGTTAAAATTTCATGCTAATTACGTGAAATAATACAAAAATGAAACATTCTGAGTGGATTGAGTCTCAAAAACACATTTTATGAGAAAATTGCCTTGAAATAGGACTCTACCATGAATATTAGAAGACAGAGCAAGCCATACTCAGTGTTTTAGGGAGATTTTTCTGACTTTTTCTCCTTATTTCTTATATTTTGCTATAATAGAAAACTTTTTCCTACGTTATACTTTAATAAATATATAGTTATAAGTAAATGAAATTATTTTTGAAGCAGTAATAACAAATTATTCACTAAAAGGGAAGATTTTTATGTCCCTCTTTGGAACGCGGCGTAAATTTAAGTTTTACGTAAGGACTTATTGAAACCTTCATGGAGTAAATAAATTTGTATATGGATAGTTCATTCAGCTTGAATACTTCAATTACTTATTTATTATCAGATTTCTTTCACAAATGAGTGAAAGTTACCCAATAATTTTGATTTATTGGCCTAAAAAGTTGAAATTGTGAGGAAATGAGAGGTATAAACGGACCAAAAGGGACCGTATAATGAAGACAAACAGGTCCATTAGTGGTTTTTATCATCCTAGAGTCATCTTTTGCATCATATTCAACTGTTTGTAGGCAGATGAGATAAATATTTGATCATTTATTGGTCCACACTATATTCTATCATGATGCGGCTTGATTTGGATTTTTCGAAGACATTTTGCTCCAATCGCTGTAGATGTCGTCTTACATTATACTAGATTTTTCTCTAACTATTGATTGATTGATTGTTGGTTGCTTAACGTCCAGTGGCAAATATTTCATGCATATTCAGGACGACTCAAACTATTGAACTGATTATGACAAAAATTGACAGTAAAGCTTGAAATAACCAGTATTACAAAAGAAAATAAATCACATTCAGTTTTTTCAACAAAAAAGTCTTCTTTAGGTGTAATACCACCAGTTCATATTACGTCACATCCGGTTGCATACGAAAAAGGGTCGAAAAAAAATATTCCCTTGAATTTGACAGTTGTAGGAAATTAATCCTACATTTCATTACAGTAAAAAATTTCTGAGTCATAAACGTATATCTTGGGTGTTTCAAAGCACCATTATTTTTTTAATTGGTGTTTCTATAGAATATTTTGTAAACTTTAGGTTACATGGTTAAAAGGCTTGTACACAGGAAAAAGTGGTGAAAATTTGATTGGTTAACTTCAAGTAATGGTTATTTTCTTATATGCAATGAAATGTTACGTGAAATGTTGTCTATAGTACTGAACAGGATAAAACTTTACTCATGCTAAGTATTTCTTTTTTTGAAACAAAGATAAATTCTGCACAATTTTTTGAAAAGTGCAGATTTAACAAAGACTAATAGGGGAAAACCAATGGTGGTATTACACCTATAATGTGAGATTCAAAATTGTGATTTTCGTTGGTCTTGTTTATAGGTCAGCTTATTTCCTCCCAAGTTTATTTCCCTCTTCAAATCACATGATAGAAACAGATGCAAAATACAAATCCTCATACCCTTTCAAACAAATCATATTGGAAGTTGAAAAAATTTTCAATTTAAGGTACGTTTTCGAATACCATCTTTATAAATCTTGGGATATCCAAATTAACTTTAAACTTAATAATAAGGTAAATAAAGTACATTTCAACTTGTATAAAATAGACATAAAGTGTATGTATAGTGTTTTCTTCCGTTTACCCTAAAACATATTTAGCCGAATCAAATTTAGTCTTTATTATTTATCCGGTAACAGGAAGTAAACAAAATTTCTAACATTGACATTATATGTAATGTAAAGCTAATATTCAGACCTTATATACGACATAAAATGTCAACAATGAATGGTAATAAATATCGACCAGACGGGCAACTCCTGAGGCGAGCAATAAAAAAAAGACAAATATTATTAGAAAAAAAATAAGCCTAGCATTTTGTTTTAAAAGTTCATCCTTCGTATTTTTTTCCGGAATTTTGTCTACGTTATAGCTCACCCGTCCCGTAGGAATCAAGTGAGTTATTCTTATCACTTGTTGTATGTCGTCCGTTAACATTTACAACAATCTTCTCCTCTTGAACTACAGAGCCAATTGTAACTAAACTGTATCA